CTGCAACTATAATAAACAACATATTTTCACAGTCGCTTCCCTCCATTTGATCTCGTAGTCCCTTTTTATCTAGATCCAAGTCTCCTACCTTATTCTTCTTTTATCAATGAATCTGTCTCTTTCCTCAAGAAACATTAGTTCCCCAGAAGTTATCGGGGTCTGATCCACGTCTTCTTGAGTATAGGATACCCGTGATGACGCCAACGTATTTCAAGATGACGGGCCAGGTTCGATCAATAATGACCAAACTTGAGATGGACCGGGTGTCGAAGGTCTTATTTGACTTGTGTAGCCCAAACTGCTTGGGCCGAACTTCGGATGATGGGTTGAAGACACGGTCATATCTTGTTGGGAGTAGGTCCAGGATTGAAGCGACTGGGCAGCTTCTCGTTGGAAAGAAGGCCATGCCTCATATGCGGGAGAGAAGGAACACAGCCCTCCTGCGCCGCAATGAGTTTATTGATCTGAGTGACATAGTGCCTGCTCCTAACTGTATTCAAGCAACGTTTTGTGGCGATCATCGTAAGAGTTTATGTTGTCCATCATTATGATGAGATTGTCAGCGAAGCCGGACACCCTGAGCAGCGCCCCGTTACATCCCCCTCAATGTCAACGTAAAGCGTACTGGTCGATGTTCTCAACACCCCGTCATCAGTGTTATAGCCGTGAACCTTTCTCTGAAGGGCCACTCCCATCTTGTTCATGATCCGGCATGTCGTGATTCGCTCCATATTTGTCAAGGGCTCCCATGCTTCCCCTGCCTCAATGGTCCCTCAACTCGGACGTCGGCATTTTCCCATGTAGGGGGGCTTTTATCGAGACACACAAAAACCTTTCATCCCTTTTTGACGACCAGGAACGGCTCTACTAATCCTTGGTACTTGAGAAGAGCATTCTGGAAGGGCAACTACACGACCTAAGACGACTTGCACTCTCTCATGCTCACTACGACGACTATCCCATTCAAAAATATTCCTAGGCCGAGGCGACAAATGTGGTAGAAAGAGCTTGCTGCTGAGTTACCAACTCATATTAGCCGTATCACTGCACTTCCGCCCGTCTTTAGCAAGGGCTTGGTAGTAAATACGCACTGTCAGGTCTTACATCATGTAGTTGCAATCCTACCTAACTATCATAGCGAAATAGCCGGTCATATCCGCAAAACAACGCCTTGACGCAACGCTGGCATCTCCATAAACCCGAATGATGCACAAAACCGACAGGCTTGGGGCTTACGCAGTCCCACTACTTCTTGGAATTTTCTTTCGGCTTCGGCTTTGGCGGCGTGCCCAGCTTCTCCACGCTTCCATCATTGTTGTATGACTTTTTGAACGCATCGCGAACCTGGCCAGGCGTCACCGCCGGGTCAGACCCCTCCAGAACCTGAACAGTGGCAACAGTGCTAGGTGCCTGCTTCCGAACCGAAGTAGACTTGGCTTGCTTGTTTGCCTGGATCTGGAGGTTGTGGTGGTTGTCGGATGTCAACTGTCAAAGTCCACGGTCAGCGTTTAGTGTCTGGATGAATGGATGCTGATGAGATATACCCCCTGCTTATCGAGACGGTAATTCTGGCCGTTTTGTTCCTTCTGTGTGTAGAGGGTGATCTGCCCGCCTCGCGGAGGGAATCCTTCCAGCTTAGCATCCGGAATCTCGTCGAGGAAGCTCAAGAAGACCTTTTTGGACATGTTAATACGGTGCTTGATTTCAAGGTACACAAAGGAGGTCTATTGTTGTGGCCCGAATCATACGGCTTCGCTACTTGATAGCAATAAGGAAGGAAGACAGACGGAACATGATTGCCAAGTTTGCCAGTGCCTGAATATATAGCTAGATTTCCTTTGGCGTAATTGGAAATCCCCTCACCTGCCCGACCTCCAAAAATTGACCGTGTTGTTGGTCATTTACGGCGCTTGACCGGCAGCATGTTGGTTGCACAACAGGTACAATTAGATGAGATGACGCTTCACACACACAAGCCGGGCGATTGTGAACCTCGATCCGTTAGGGATAGTCGTCTCTGGCTGGCCTCATTTTCAAGCAACGAGGGACCACAAAAAAGCCACCACGAAAATAAGACGGTTGTGCAACATGAACGATTTGTAATTGTGAAATGCCTCAGGTTGGAACGAGACAGGCCTCAGGCACTCGCCCCAAACTGTTGCTTTAGCCAATACCGTGCGCTCGTCCATCTGTCCTCAAAGTTGGCCAAAGACCTAGATAGCCCTCGTTTGAGATCAATCCTCGCATCTGCTCCGAGACTCAGGCTATACATGGGTCCCACGATCTCAGCGTACTTGCGGCGCAGGAGGACCAGATCCCAATCTTTACGGATCTCGACCATGGCTTTCTCTTCTTCAGGGGGGAGGGATCCAACTGGTGGGGGTTCTTGGACCGGAACTCCCTGAAGGAAATGCGGGACCCCGTCCTCTGTTTCCAAGGCTGGCGCGATGCTCACAGACTCCCAGTCGACGATGCCGACAAGTTTGTGTGTCTCGGGATTCACAAGCACGTTCATCAAAGAAATGTCATCGTGCCATAGGACCTTGATGTCTTCCGGGTCGTCAGTCGCCGAGTAGATTCGAGGTACGACCTCGACAAGCTTATCGACCGTCTCGAGCACCTCGGCTCCATCGTCAGCAAGCATCTCGTCGGCTTCGCAGTAGTACTCGGTCCCAGGAGAGGGTGAGAGATGTTGAATGCGCCTGGCGAGCAGAGCGGCCTCGGACGTAGCGAGTTCCCGCGCTGTGGTGAAGGGCCCACGGTTAGGGCGAAGGAGGAGGCGTTTATCCCGAAAGAAGCGTGTAGAGACCATGCGCCCGACAACAAAGGTGCCATCAATGCCGGCATCGAGTCCTAGCGTGGGCATGTAGTCGACCTGGTTCCAGACATCCGCGTAGTAAATGCTACCCAGCATGGGAAACGGACGCTGCCTGAGTTTCTTGAGGGAGCGGGCCAGCTCGACTGTGAGATGCATCTTGGCCTGGAAGGGCATCGTGTCCCAGACTTGCTCGAGTGGTACGCCCCGAACCCTCTCCATGAGAATCCACTCGAAGCCGAGCTCGTTTGAGGCGCTAGACGCGTAAGCAACGATCTCGGGTACCGGTATTGAAGAGTTCCGCCGAATGTAGTCCATGGTGGCCACCTCGCTTTCCGTCTTGAAGAAGGGATCAACAGGCAGGGCGACGCGCATGAGGTACTCGGCAGTCGTGTGGTCGGAAGAGAGGCAATACAGGCGATGAAATGCGCCCTGGGCGAAGGGCGAGATGCTGGCATCGGAAAATAAATCCGCTGGGAGATGTTCAAGGGCGAGCTTGCGTGCGACTTGGATATCAGGTTCTCGCGGCCACACTGGGTCTAGCAACCCCGTCGTGTCGTTGTTTCTCCAACAAAGGTGATGTTCGGCGAGGGTGTTGACATGGTTGTGGCCGTGCGATACGCGACTTGGCTTGGAGCCTGCAACTGCCTGGTTCATCTTTACACGTAAAAGCAGAGATGAGATTAGTCCAGAGTACAAGGGAGGGAGTTGATTGACTTGAGATGGGACAAAACAGAGGTTGAGAGGGTGAGCACGGTGACCAAACTTTTCCGCACTGTGTTGACTGATGAGTTGAGATATAGTACTTGAGACGTAGCTACCCCGCTTTTTGAGTCGTAATGTCCCACGTGACTATGAACAACGAGGCGGCACAACGCAAGCGACATTCCAGCATCGGAATCATGCAAAAATGAAATTGATGAATATCTATGATTGGTCTTCTTTCCACAGGGCTACGCGCTGACGGTGAAGTATCATTCAAGTCATAGGTCATCTAAGGCATTCATCTCTATGTGAGCCCCCTTGGCCTCTTGCTTGCAAACAGACTCGAGGGCATCCTAGTGGTAGTCGGTTCCTCAATGAGGTCACAAATGTCAGGAAACTTGCACGAGGATTACAAATGCAGCAACCATGGCTTCTTTGTGTGAATAAAGAAATTCGACAGGTGTGTAGTCTGGGTCGATTGAGAGTTTCCTATGCATGGTTGGTCTGGCGTATATGAAGATTATGGCAGTGGAAATGAACCAAAAAGTAAAGGTCGCTCCTCCACTCGGAAGCTGTCTGCTCTTGTCTCTTTTCTCTTGAGGCCCCCATCTGTTCTACCTTAGTCATCGCCACTTGACTTGGTCAAGGGAGCGGGCGATCGCCGAGTGCTGGATCCTAAGGCAGCCGTGCAGATACCCCAGCCTTCTGGAGCCGGAGTGAAATTTTGGAATCTACCCAGGTTCTCAGCACGGCCACCCTTTCAAGATGACCAATAGCACGCTGGAGGTGGATGCAGGAGCAGGTTCCCAGCCACGGCTGTTGTTTGGCTTCCAGCCCCTACACGAAGAGTTACGGAGGCGATTGCTGAGGTCGTAATGTTACAGCCCGAACCTGCCGAAAAGAAAGGCGACCTTCTCACTTACAATTCGCCGAGGCCATGCATGGAGATGCCCAAGATTCTCGAGAATCAGGTACTAGTGCAACCAGCGTTCTCGTCCCTTCCTTGTTCTAATGCTTGGTTCAGGCTAGCCTGGTCAAGCTAACCAATGTGACGATCGGACCAAGGGTGCGAGAGCTACAGGCATTTCAGCTCTCGGTTGGCCACGACGCATGGGTGCCAGAAGGCTATCTGGGCCGTGCTATTCTACTCACACAGTTTGAAGCCAAGATTCAGATCCGAAAGGGCGGTGACTTGTCGGGGCAAAAGATTTGGAGGCCTGATCAGGAGCTGTATTACAATGGCGCTCTCCTGGCTCTCGCTCTTCACATCAAATTCTCTCTTGCTATTTACCAACTCACATCTCATGATGCTGATCGTCCTGTTTCATGATTTCCATCATATTGTGGCTCGTGGGGCGCAGACGAAGGCCGGGGGAGTCAACAGTGCCGCGCTGAGGGAGACCGAGATAATGTTCAACGTCGTCCAGACTTTGAGGTCAGCAATGACCATGCAACTAGTTGCTGGAAAATCGTACCTGACTCTTCCCCCATAGAGTTCGTACACAATGTTGGGTAGGCGGAGGGAGGCCGATGATAGCTGTCTCTTGGGGATGTATACCCGTATGTCTTCAAGTACGGCATGACCCCCCGAAACCTCCATCTCCCCTAGGATATCGATAGCCTCATCTGTTAACTTTTTCATGTTGTGAGCGAACTTATTTCCTGTCCACGTCAATGAGATAAACCTCCAAAGCGTGTACCATGGAACACGTACGCCGGAGCGGTAACTCATCTGCACGGCTAAGCCACGAACTGCGTAGCACATCTGACATCTTGATCCACCTCCTGACACCAAGTCTCATGGTCCTCGCCGATGTCTCTGGGACCCCCATGTATTTTGCCACCATTTGATTCACCACTTTAGCTCGGAAACCTAGCCCAATCGCAGCTTCACCCAAGGCAATAAAGACAAAAGCGTGGATCTGAGACCTAGTGCCCTCAAGCAGACCAGCATGTTCGTCTGCGAAGGCTTCAAGAAGCGTCTGTGAGTCCATTGCAGCGCGACTCGCATAGTCAACCTTGCTCAGGACGAGCTCATCGTGGAGCTGCTTGATCCCCTCCTGGGTCCGTGGTTTCTTGTCGTCCCAGTCTTCTTCCCCCTTTGGCAGCGCCCTCAGAAAAGTTTTTAATGCGCTAACCGAGGTGGTCTTTGGTTGTTTATGCTGCGGTCGCTCCTGCAGCCCGCTTGGGTCGGAGATGAGCTCATCCATGCTTGACAAGGACAACGAGAAGATAAAGTGAGGGGGTGGACAGAGTCAGGGCATTCTGCCTGGTGAGTGGGACACGGAACTTAGGGTGGCTGGGCTAGCCGCTATCCAATCAGCTGCCTGACCCGGGGAAGAAGTTCGTTGTCCGATTGGTTCTTCCCACTCAACGCACTAAAAGCAAGTCCTTTCTTGGCATGCCCATCTTATCCTCCCAGCGGGGGACATAAAACACGAGACTCAGAGAGGTGAGGGCACAGCCAATTCAGTCTCGTGTATTTTGTCCCCCGCTAGTCCTCTTTAGCTAGTCACTATGTGATCCGTGCTGTCGTCCCCTTGTCTCAACCCTGTCCGATAACTTGCAGCCCATTCCGCCGTTCTCCATAAGACCAATGCAACTGGGAGACAGTCAGTGCAGAATTTTTCACGGCCGGGTGTGATAGTAACATGTGGAGGCCACCCAAGCCGTCACACACCCTTGACTGGGCTATCATACTCAGTTGTTGCGTGGTGTCGATATAATGGTGAAGGAAGCGCGCCCTCACCTGTGACCAGAGTTCCAGGACTCGAGATGTGCCACCTTGAGCGGTGCCGTGGCTTTGGGAAGTGAGGGTCGCGCACTGCGTGAGACTCATTCATGCACGTTTTCCTTCGCTCGTCCGTGTCCAGGGTCATTCTTCTTACCCCCATGTGACACCCAGGCCTATCATCACACGTCCTTCTGACCTCATGGTGGTCGGGTCTGTCACATATCAAGGTGATTTTCCATATGATGCACAGTTCCGAAGAAGTGAATTGAACATAAAAAACTACACAGTGGCCGAAAAGAGGGGAGATCATTCTTGAATACTGTTCCGCTATGGCGCCCAAGAGTTGAAGAATCGCATGATAGAGTCGAATCATGAAGAGTGGCAGATCGGAAAGGAACAATACTTCTAACTATCGCAACAAGTCTCTCACGCCATCACATCAATGAAGTGCCTATTGAAAGCTATGCCGAATGACTGCCATCTCTCTTGGTCATGCATGTGCCCCAAGCTCAATGCTATTAAAGATCTCTTGTCCTCAGTGCTTCAGATCTTTAGGCAGACCATAGTTGAGTTTCGCGAGACTCGCAGTACCATAAAAGTTTCTTTTTATCAAGACACTGAGTTTCCTAGTAATCATTCTTATTGCTGTGCTAGGGGGAGTATGCCTTTGCCCGCAGGTTGCTAGGCTGAAGCGGGGATCATTGGATGCTATTAAAGGCCTTGTCGACTGCAACCCACTCCTCAGCGAGGGGAGACTGAAGAAGAGAAAATCCTTCATCGCTAAGGCTCTCTCGCAACAGCGTACTCGTTCCAGAATTGAATAGTCTTCACGGGGTGACAGGGGTAGCTTTAACTCAACCCCAAGGAGAGTCCCGTTCAAGCCGAAGTGGGAAACTGTCTTGTGAAAGACCACCCACTGGCATTCGATTCACCCATGCTCAGGCTCTTTCTCCCCTGTCTGGGTTTGTTGTTCGATGTGTTGCTCCCAAGCCCGCACGGAGAGAGCAAAGATTCTCAGGATAATATGCTCAAAATCGACGACAGCCATGTAGTCGACAATCTCACTACAGCGAATGGTGTCGTCTTTCTTGCCGTCCGAATCGGTCGCGCTCTCTAGATTGCAGTGTGAGAGAGGTGTGGCGGCGGTGCCGTTGCGATTCGTACATTTGATATGAAAAACATGATGATGCAAACCCATGTTCGAAGAAAGGCTGCAACGTGTTCGGGAATCTGGTGGGTCGGTGGCTGTTGCATATGACGATGATACAGATTCGAGGGCCACGGTAAGCCTGGTGTGCGCCTGGGGATACTGCTCATCTTCACGAGTCGTTGATGGTTTTGCCTGTAGGCTCTTCGCCAACTCTGGCTGGAAGTCGATCCCACCGTGGAGTCGGTCAACAGATTCGACACCGGTCATGACGGGAGCCGTAGGATGAAGAAGAGGTTGTTGTGTGGGGTAACGGATGCTGGCCCCGGCTTAGAGGGAGAGGAAGATAGGCTAAGCTTGTGCTCAAGGCTCGAGTTGCGTCTCGACCGAAGCCGGAACTTGTAGACACTGGAAATGGTCTCCATTACGGCCACGAGGAACTCTGATATGCCCCGCTCTAGCCCGTGCATGGTAGTGCAAGGGGTGTGCAAAGAGCAAGCGTAATAATCTCAGCCGGAATGGTTGTTCAGCTTTCAGAGTGGATTCCATCTCATCTCGGAGACGCATGCGAGTGCGCCCCAGCGCTCGTGACACATTTGGTCGACAATCAAGTGACGCCAAATGGATCCATACATAGCCGTTAAGCGCCAGAATACGAGAGGTCACCTGAAGGATAGTCATGAACACCCAGTCACTGTTCCGCTCATCCATCTTATGCATTGTTGGATGGAATACGTTCCACATTGACAGTAGAGACATGGACGGATAGAAGAGAAGGTGGTCGGGGACGCGTCAAACTCAGAGACAGGAAGGGGCAAACCAAGCCAAAGTGTCGAGAGGTGATCCCCCCCAGAAGTCCATTTTCAATTGTTAATCGATGCCCCTTTCCGTTGTGATGACCAAACCCAACATTCGGAATTCCTCCAAGCCGGCCGATATTTCCCCTCTGAACGACTGGCATAGATGCCTTCTTTCTCCATGACATCCCCTCGTGGACAATGTTGTCAGGTCTAAGCAGTTCGACCTTCGAATTCGTTTACCAATGGGCAACTGCCTTGTGCTCTTGGTCAGACTACGCTCAAAAGTATCCCTCTGTTAAGTCTTACCTCTGGGTGTCCATGAGGGGCGTGCATCAATAAATGAAGCATATTCCGTAGAATTTCTTCATGTGCCGTCATGAGGAGTATAACAGCGCTGGGCTGGTCAACCGCTGAACATAGGGGACATGAGAGCCAGAAATGTTGGCATGGGCATACCCGTGCGCAAAGTCCTTGCGATGCGGTCCAAGCGAGAGCAAGCGAGAACCAGTAGAGACAACACCCATCGAGCGGCAAACGATGTGACATCCCACAGCGGCATACCAGAGAGTCATTGTTTGCTTGAGTCCTCTGGATTCCTAGAAGCCTCAAGAACTAGAGAAAGCCTCAATCCGACGGGCACGCGGTCAGCTGATCAGTGGCAATTGATGCAAGGTATTCTTGGAACTTTGGGCTTCGAACTACCCCTGTGTTTGGTCTCTGAAATGCCAATTGGAATGGATTCCATCCGCCCTCTGTCAGCAAGAACGAGGCAAACGTCACGGTTGCGGGACATCACCTCTCTGCTCTAGGGCCCTGCAATGGTTGTTGGATACTTAACAAGAGTGAGCCACTCCAGCGCAAGGTCCAGCTGTGTTGCTCGTGTCGCTGGAGATATCGACAGCAATCTACGGATGCGTCGTCGCTCGTGCGTATCGCGGCATTTTCTTCGTTCGGTCATCGTGAGGTGGAGGTGCGTGGCGGAGATAGTACCAAGTGCTACCATATCATAGTATCAGAGGAGTTCTAAGGATTGGAAAGTATAGTGGCGGGGCAAGGAGTCTCGAAACAAACCTGAGGAGGATCTCGAAGTATGCGGTTGGAGTTGAAGTAGTCTTGGCCTCGTCTTGAACGAGTCCCGGAGGATATTCGCTCGCTTCGCTCACTGGGAGATGTCGGAGGTCCCCAAGCACCCAACAACTGAAGGTCCAGCAGATTGGGCAAAGGGAGTTGAAACAGAAGAACAAGTTAGCGAGGCAGTGGTTGTTGTTTGTACGGCCCGGGATCTGTCGATCAGAGTCGTCATTCCACGTTTATACGCACGATGAGCAAGGGCTTACGCACCACCATTCTATTCCGCAACACGGCTACCTTGCTTGGCCCCTGTCATATCTGGCATCGGCTACTCGGCTTGAGGATACAAGGCAACATGACGAAGAGCACGGCTTCTAAAGGGGGGCGGGCATGCTTAATAACACGGCTGCATCCACTTCCGCTGTTTGCTGACTTTCCCTTGCGAGTTTGATGCAGTCACCTGCTTTAGGACGGGGTTCAAACAGGTCACAGGTTAGGGTGTCTGGAAGATGCACACCAGGGGGTACCTGAAGCTGGCGGCGAGCGAGCGCGACCCTCCTAAGTCTCTACCAACATGCTAGCCTCTGACCAAGCAAAATGACTCATTGCCACCCTGACACTCTCAGTGACCTCGTAGCAAAGACACGAACTTCAGGTCGCGAAAAGACCAAGACGGTCGAACAGTTAAGAGCTCCGTCTGTCTTTCTAGATTTGCAGACCAAAATAAATATATATCTATTCTTGTAGGAAGTAATCAGCGACCTGCAGCCTTAGTATACTCATACTATGAAGATCAAATCATCCCGAACTCCTCCACTAATTGGAGCGTCTCCGTGCTGCACGTAATGCTGCTGTGATGATCCTGGGTGGGATAGTCTTATTGTCTTCATTGATGGCAAGAAGCCATCAGCCTCGATAGCAAGAGAAGCAGCTATTAATACATGACGGCATGAAAACCTAATATCGTAAAACGCCGTAACATAATTTCCATCCTCCCTGATCCTTCCGTGATTCGATATGCCATCCTTCTGCTGTCATCAGTTACTCGGGGTTTGCTGCGCTCTCGTACCCTGCTATCTTTGACAAGAGCGTTTTACCCAATACGGGTACTATTCTCTGGTCGTGCCTGTCATGCATCAGCGCCAGCAACTTGAATCAAATCAGCAAGGGCTTCACTGTGTGTCTTGATTCCGTTGAGAAGGTTTGCAACAAAGGACATCAGCCACATCGGCAAGACACAGTTGTAGGTACGGGCATGAAGTCGTTCAACCATCCTAACGCTGCAGGCGTTCGTCAAGAGCTATTTGGCAAACGATTTGCTTGTAGCCTAGTTCAACGCAATCTGGGGAGGCCGTGTGACTTCTTTCTAAGCCGATGACTGTGACCATGGACCTTTATATGGAGAGTGTGAGACTTTCCTCGTTCAGCAGCAGTTACTCTCTTCCATTGACCTTGGAGCATCAAAATCTAATGATGTTACGCTGGATATTTGAAATCACAGGGACTTGATGATTTGTTTGAGCTGTCATAGTTTTTGGACAAGACATTCAGGTATCATGCTCCGGCTCAGGGGGCGAGGCAATGGGTTCAAGGCTTTGTGGAAGGTAGTTTGGTTGGAGGATATAGCATCATTCATGTGTTCATAAAGCATAAGTGAGTCTGAAAGTCGGAGAATGCGTAGTTCATGTTCGGTTACACCTTCCCACTTAAATAGTAATATGTGTGGACGTGGAGCAAAGCATGACAGCAGAGAGCATCATCTTCCCTGCCTGCTCTTGGAACTTGAGGTCGTTGAGCTCGCTCAAGAAGTGTTTTGAAGCTTTACTAGTCTTCAGTGCAGGCTTTTGTTTGTGTCATTCGGTGAAGTACTAAGGCAGTTTTCCACTTATGAAGCAGCTCGATGGCACCCAGCAACAGCCGATCAAGTGACTTCAATGTGTTCGTCTGGATAGACTTGTGCGTCAGCTGGATGATAGAAATATTCTCAAGATGATGATTGGTTCAACCTGACTTCAACGATTCGCCTGGGGTGACAAAATTGCCTCTTGTTGACATGGGAGAGGAACTGATATCACATGCGAGCTCACATCAGACCGGTACTTTTCTGATTATTCCATCTTTTGTGGAGGAACTAGGTGCTACAGTTAGCACCGTCACTCGTCACATTCAAACATTGCTAGGTGTTGTTAATTCAAGACGCCTAAAATAAACATGAGGATGGTAGGCACGCGCCGCAATGGTTCCGTCATTGCCCTAGCCCAGCATCATGATGAGCTCTTACTCCATCATCTAGCAGCCTTTCTACATGAGATTTGGAATGCAGACTTGGGCCGGGACTTTAATTGTCTGTTGAAAATGCGTCATTTCAACGTGTAGGTTCTGGCGGTTCTTATTGAGTATCGACACCACCGTGACGCCCGAACCATACGGAGCCCATCTGCCCTACTCGCAACTGCTCCAACTCAACACTCCGTATGTCACCAGTCCTGTACGCCTTATTGAGCACGCTTCGGCAACTCTGGAAGTCGTAGGTTCAACGCAGCACGGACTTGCTCGTTTAGTATTAATACCGTGGCCAGCTCGTTGCACAAAGAGGGAGCCATCTTGCGTTGTCACACCCGCTCCAGCCTCCAGGTTGGGGCTGTTATGTTTCTCGATCTTGACCTGAAGAAAGAGAATAATATTTAGAGAACATGTAAAGTCCACGCATCAGGTTCTCCTTTCCCAGCCTCAACCTGCTCTCTATATGTGTATAGTAGTCACCTTGAACACCAATGGCCTTGCTGTGATGCCCGTTTGCGTTTGGTGATGCATCTTTCGCAAGGTGCGATCCCTGTAATGGTCGAAGTCTGCGGCACCATTGGAACGGATTGCGAAAGTGACCTTCTGGAAACTAGAGTCCGCATCCGCACTCTCCACGTGGCATTCGAATGTGTTCAGACTGGCCTCAACCTTAAGCTGTTTGAGCTGTTCTTTGAGCCCTTCAAGGAGGGTCCCAAGCGTCATCAATTCGAACCTTTCCTTTGGCCGCCAAAGGCGTATGCCTTCCGATGTTCTCATCTCGAACTCCATGGTCAAGTTCATTAGAGTGAGACTATTCCCGTCGGCGTGAGAAGGATGACCGTCGACATCTCTGGCGGCAGGGGCGGCGGCGGGGGGGGGCAGCGTAGCTTGATATTGCGGGGATCCCTGGTTCCCGCCTTGGAGTGTTTCGGTGCCGGCGTGCGCAACTGGGCTCACTTGTTGGCTGCACTTCTGGCAATACCATTGATCTGGAAGTTTTCGACAATCGTCTCGTGACATGCCAACGCAAGTCACATGATTCCAACCACATCCACTGCAAAAGACCCATGATATCACACCTCTACGTCGCCGTAAGGGATCGTGCTGCTTGCAAGATGAGCAAATGGCCATTTTTTTGCAGGTTGGTCGGTCAGCCGCCTTGTCGTTGTAGGGTTTCCGAGCTAAGCTCTCAAATTGTTTGCGTTTCTTAGGAGCCTTCGTCACAGTGGTACCAGGCACCTCGATATTCGGGTCCAGTCGTTTTTGTTTCGTTCCTTGCCTCTTTCGGCCCTCTTGTTGTCTCTTGTCTCGCGGAGGCTTCTCAAGCGTACCTCGGCAAACAGGCTCACCACAGAGGCAAGCCTTCGACTCGCCATTGGAGGTGAAATGGTAATCGAATGTCAACTCCGTGTCCGGAGAAATAGGTCCCATTGCGTGCAGGGCCATCCGCGGCTTTCCTTTCACCACCCGCTTCATTACTTTGCAGTTTGGCTTGCAGCTATGGTTGACGAACCGGGCTAGATTACCCGCGCTGTCCGCGTTGATCACAAAGCCTTCGTCGAACAACAAAACGTAATCTCCCTATTCCAGTGGTTTTAGTCAATTGAACCTGAGCAAAATGGGGATATGAAAAGAGAAAATCGCCTGTGGATGAGAACTTACGGACCTTGGTTTCGTTATCTGTGAGGACGCCGATATACTCCATGATGACCGCACTGCCTGGTATCGCCTCCTTGGTACGGATACCAAATCCTCGCTTGTCAGTCTGGATGAGCTCAAGTCGGAAGCGAATTTTCCCCATCCGGAGCATGGTATCAAATACTCGATTACCGCAGCTTTTCCCCACGTCGCAGTTATAGTCGCTACAATCGAAGCCCATACTCGCATTCAAACATTGCGGACCGCAATTGTTCGCACACGCGCATTTGGACTGCCTAAAGGAGGCGGCATTCCTTGTATGATTCCACCTTCGCAGACACTCTGTTGATATCGAGTCTAGCAGCCAAGTTAGCAAGAAGCAGCAGTACTGTCCACAATTTCGCCGTGCACATACTCGTTTGCAAAGTCGTCCACCTCGGCCAAAGCGTATCCCCCGGCTCCACAACTTGCGGTTGGCCATTGGCACTTGTTGCGTTGACTTTGTTAACACCATTAACAGAAGCCTTGGAAAGTTGTCTGAGATTATAAGTTTCGACTTCCTTTGCGTTCCGTGATGGTCGATGCGTGGTTGAAGAAGAACCATGGGGCCTGTGAGACATCGTTCGGGACACCGGATCACCAACGGTTGGCGCAACCGGCGTTGTGGTGTTAGGCGGTTGGTGCATGGTGGAGTGCGTGGTGATGGTGACAGGCTCTTGGCCTGGGGGCTGTCTTCTATGGGTAACCCATAGGAGCAGGGAATAGAGGTACACGTACAGTAAATGCATTGATAGCTGTCCAACTCATGTTGTGGACACTTGCTGATGAGGTTATTATTGATGTATGGAGCAAAGCACCACGGGAACCCAGAAAAGGAAGAGATACAAGGCTATAAAAATAACCGCAAAGCCCAAGGCAAGCCGTTGCACCGATGAAAACTTGGTGAGGCAGTGATGCCAGCCCAGCCACATCTTTTTAGAGGTAGACACAGCGAGGCTGGAACCAGGAGGCAACCAGAAGGCAGCCAGAAGGCAACTACATGAACACAAAGAAGAAATTAATTAACCAGTTTATTGAGGATGCAATGCCATGGATCGACTGCGTAGCTCTTGGTGTTATGGGTCCAGTATTCGATTCATTGAATTACACCTTAATCCGCCTTGCTGGCGGTGGCCATTTTGTACAGGGTGTCTCTTCTTTTTTTGGAGGTGGAAAACCCCTTTTCTGGCGATATGGATACTGCGATGTACCAACCATTCAATCAAGACCATCCTACATCTGAAATGCTTAGATACACAACAAGCAGGTGTAGCCCGATTGCTGGCCATCGAGGCTTGTCAGCAGGCGGCAAGGAGAATACGACCCGGAGACGGCGGGACCTCGCCCTGTTTCGTGGGTAAGTGGACAGAGTCATTGGCCACACAACGTCGGCCCTAATAATATCACTGCTGTTGGAAATGCAATTGAGCCAGAAGATCGCGCTTACCAAACAACCTTTTTATTAATATTTCAATCTGCCCCTATCTCTCTCAGTTCGACACGACGTATACATCACCATAACACGCATTCTTGACCTCGCCCATTCTCAACCATTCCCATCCCACAGCCCTTGCTAAAATTTTCGATCCTGTAGAGCCGTGAGTCTCCAGGCCCCAAGTACACCAGAGAAGCAACCGATATCCTCCGTGAAGCGTTCTCTCACGTCTCGAACACCTTGCCAGACCATCCGATAACGGAGGGCAGCCATGAGTACATCCAAGATACCATCGACATTGCCTTCAAAGCACCAAAACCGGACGCATTGAACGATATAAAGAAACCGCCATCTGCTCTGGACGCCTTCGCTGATGCCGTTGTGGAATGGTCCAGTAGCAAGTAGTAATGGGAACTATTGGGGCAAATAAAGAACATGGTTGATTCGTAAAGGTGGTCACCGAGTCCTGGCTCCTGGCATGACGAGTCCGCCCCCCCTCCTTCTCCAGTTCGAAGCGCAGATCCATGGTTCGCGGACCATTTCGGCACAAAGGCGTCTTCCAACAATAGAAGAATCAACTTGGGACCTCAATCCGGTTAGTATTCTTTCCCCTTCCCTCTCCCCGACTCACACAGCATGCACCCCCCCCGGACAGGGTGAACAAGGTGGCGCCTCAAGGCTCGACCGCCTCAGTTTTCCTCGACCGCTAGCTGAACCAATAGGCAAAAGGGTCTGTCCCCCTTGCTTCTGTTATGCACACCCTGCCCTACGTAACAGAATAATTCGCCCGGCTCCCACCTTATCTCCCTGTCGGTGTCATCAACCAGTGTGACCGCACCACCCTCTTGTAGGAGCATGACAGTGCTGATGTGACCTGGGGACATTGGCAAGAACGTAAGTGGCCCTAGACGAAACAGCTGGGGCTTCCAATCATCGATTTTCACGATCCTCCATCCCCGACTCTCAGCGATTGAGGCGATCAGGCTGCGCTTTTGGCTGGTCAGCAAGAGCAGAGCAAGTCAGCATTCAGAATGTACCTCCCTTAGTCCCGAGACAGTCAAGAAGCCTTGGAAGCGAGTCAAGGAGGCCGACATCATGGGGGCCTGGACCCTGTAGTATCGCTGCTAGACCAATTACCTCCCTACTGGCCATCTTCCAATCCTCTTCAAAAGTCTTGTCGAGAGAGATGGACACGGAGAATGAATCAACACGGCAAGAGAGCCACTCGGCCGGCGATGCTTGGCCCTGTAGCCGATGTACACCCTCAATCATATCCCGGCTTCCCGGTTAGTACAACGCCCTCTGTGCTCATGACGGCCACCCACCTGAAGCGCCCCGCGAAAAGCACGTAAACGATATTCGGAACGCGGAGACAAGTGGAGTCTAATTGGCTCTGAGGCCGGTAGATGCTCTCACGCTCCTCAAGAAGGATCTGCATGTGCCTCTCGGTGAAGTTTGCTAGTCTGAAAAGCGCATTTGCTGCCCCAACTTAGCAGATAGTCAACCCAGGCTGACAGGGAGACTAACGACGGCGAATGGCCACCTCATACACACGGGTACCGACAGCTCCATGGCTATGAAGCTCATCCAGCATTCGTATGAATCGTTGTGTTCCCCATCTCATACCGTCAAGTGATGTGTCGGGCTTGTCCACTCTCAGACGAACAAGATTGCGTGCCTGGTCTAGACTTAGCTCTCCCTGTTTTACCCCCACCTCACACGCGTCGATGAGTGTCATGAGGTCTAATTGATTGCTCGAGTCCAGAGTGTTGGCCAATGCCGTGATAAGGTCTGCACATGCCATCGCCTTGCGACTCGCAGGGGAATACTGGCCTGTCAAGGTGAGCTTGCAAAATAGCGCTGCAACGTCCTCATCAGTTTGGGGCACACCACGAGCCCAACCATCCTCGTTCTTAGGAATCTTTTTTAGGATGCCAAGGACGTCAGTCCGCACATCTGCGTCAGGCCGTGATAGTGTCCCTCCCTTTCCGGGCTGCCATTGGATGATGTTATGCATTGTTGGTTGAGGATGGAGTGAGTGAAGAAACCAAGATTTTGAGTCCAGGCTGAGTGGCTAAATGATTTGTCTAACCCTTTTAGGCAATCCAAAAAAGATTCACGCCACGATCTTCGGGCTTAGCTAACCCATTAAGGGCCAGGCTACAACTATAATAAAGAATAGATCTTCAACACATTATAATATCATAACCCGATGTTAATATAGTGGCCTATTTAAACTTCTGCAACAGCAGAAGAGCCATACCTAGCTACATTATCATGAAAGGTCTAGCCTCTCACGGTTCCCTGTCCACGAAGACCGAGATAGGCGAGTGGCACTGACTTGCCCGGTCGAGTATGCACTCACCCTACCTAGTTGATACGCAGAGGGGCGGTAAAACTAGCCGTCCTTTCTTGAGAGCTCGAGAAGAAAATCGGCGGGGAGGGGCCAAGTCATCCGAGATGCAAACTCAGAGAGTGCGAGAAGGTCTACGGCAATACGCTGGGCACGCTGGGCACCCTCTATATGACCGGACCCAGTTCACATCATTGAGTCAAGTTTCGCTTTCCATCTTTTATAATCTCGTTCTCTTTGTTAATACACCTCGGTCCAGAAACATCAATTGCCGAGAACCCCCCCCCCCCCCCCACACACACACACGATTCATTTGAAATGTTTCCTCGAACAGTCGGACGGTCTATTATCGATATCGGTACCGGGGGCACCGCCCTTGCCATGGGAACCTCGAAGAAGTATAGTAGTGACGTCAAGTCCATCAGGGAACTCATAAATGTTATCCATTGTCCGATCAATACATTCAATTAATCCACTACTCCTTAGATAACAACATCGATAAGACCGACAGAGATCACAAAGAACTCGCCCCGAACGTTCAGGACCAACTACGCGACGAAAACGTGTACGGAATGGTTGTCACCCACGAAACGGACACCTTACCTGAGCTTGCTGCTTTCATGAGCTTCACCTTACAATCCGAGAAGCCCGCCGTCATTACAGACGCGATAAGACCATCGACGGAACGCACCGCGGATGGTTTTGCCAACCTTCAAGACGGTCTTGTCGTCGCTCAACAAGGTCACAAGTACTGGTGCATGGTCGTCTTTCAGCAGAAGATTCTCTCAGGCATGTACGTTTTCAAATCCGACTTCAAGTCCCTCGATGCATTCAGTGCAGCCAAGCCAGGACAACTAGGATTTGTCGACTCTCACACAGTGTACTTTTTCCATCCCCCGGCCGCACAAATAGGCCCTCCCATGCATTTTCGGGCTTCATTCGAGGCTCCAGATATGGAGGTATTCTTTTGCCACTCATCTCAAACGCGGAGTTGCGGCTTGTGTATTCATGGCCCTTGTAGACGGTTACCGGGCTGCCTGCAGATGGGCCATGATGAGATAAAAGGTCAGATCAGAAAACGCGGTAGACAAGAAGATTCAGGAACCTTCAGATCAAAACCATAATTTGGGCCGAGAGCTGGGTGAGCGGCGGTCAACACCTGGCTAGGCACGTTGGGGGAAAGGTTGGAACAGTATAAATATATTCCAAGTACTAGATCTCCCAAGGACATCGTCACTTATGACCTAGAAACTGAATAGCAATATCCTGCCACAAGGGAACCCTCTCTACTTTGACGAGTCCTCAATCCCCAAATGCAATGTCTTAGGCTAGCGGCATTTCGTCTTTGCTGGAGGATGAACGATGGCGTGCTTCATCCGTAAATATCGAGACGAGAAAGTGTGACCAAACTGTCCATGCCCACCAAGGGTCATTGTGAGATCAAGTCATTGGGCGCATGGCTGACATTTGATTCAACCCGACGATGTTGTTTCTCGTTCCAGAAAAGCCATCAGTCACAGACAACTTGCCGACTACGCCTTTCGATATCCGCCCAAAGGGCACTCACCACCAGATTATCCAGTGCGGGACTACCACTTACCCTGTAACTAATCACCGACTTATCTTCCTCCCGAGGAGTCTATCGACTACTGAGGGAAAACCCCAAGGGCCGCAAAAACAACGAGACGGAGCAGCTGCTCCTCTTCAAGACGTCATAGCTCTCGGTACTACTGGGGTTGAACCAGCCATATCTGGACGTTAGTTAAGGTGATTTCTGACTCGAGACCCTCAAGTTCTTCCTGGCCCAAGTCGGGAAATGGCTCCTGGTAGTCGGCAACCTGATGTACATCCTCGAGTCTCTCTACCTATTTCACCAACTTACCCTCGAGCGAAGGCCATTTTCGTACTCAAGCAACAGGTTCCAGATCGTTTGTGTCCCTTGTTTTTCGTACTAGTCGGTATTCTCAATAATGAATCTCAAAGCGCCACGCTCGGGTTGGCTCCTTTGATCTGGCGAATGCCAACCGCCTCTGGGTGTCAAGCTGAAGTTAGACATTGTCAATATCCGGCTGCCCCAACTCCCTACTGTCACCTTGCGTCTCAGCAAGACAAGTTGTTCACGATTCCTTCATGGTAGCGAGGTGGGAGCTGCAGCCGTGCTGGCCCAGTGTGGAGACTTTCCTGGATCATTGAGGGACAGCGTTTTGATTGGTTGTGACGTTACCATGTCGACAAGGAAATTCAATAATCCGTCGATAAACAAAGCGGGGCTTCAACCAACACAATCATCATCGCCATTACCACCACACAACGACGACGCGCCCCCTCAGAAAGCAGCGCCGCAATGCGCGAAGAATTCATCGACAATTGGCTGTCCGAGGTTTCTTCGTATTTGCAGTCCAGCAAAGACTCGGAAACCCCGCGCCCGCGGAAACGCCGCCGCGGCGACTCTTACTCGCATCTTCCGTCACCACAATATTCAATCAGCGACATGTCTGAAGCCAGCGACACCGGCATAAAACGACAGGTTGACAACGATCAAACGCCCAAGGCCAAGAAACAAAAGAAAACCAAGTCAACGGCATCCGAGTCTCAAGGGACGGAGACTTCTCAGCAATCTAGCCACGCCTCAACACAACTGCACTTTAAAGCGCTTGAACTCACGGACCGAGGTGTCATTGAGCGCGGGATTAATGGGTTGAGCGATCACCCGTCGGAAGCCTTGGCTACGTTCATTGAGGACTTGGAAAATGTCATGGCGTGTCGCAATATCTTGCCTTTGGATATGCGAGCCGAGTTTCAGAGGAGCGAAAACCCGAGGTTTTCAAAAATCGGCAAGAACTCGGCCGCCTTCTCTTCCGATCGTCGTGAGCTTGGCCAAGTACCAAGCCACAAGACGGTTTTGCGGCTTGTGAGGATTGCCGAGGAATGCCTCACCAATAAACATGATGAGGCGTCATGGAACGTCTTAGTTCACTCTCGTGTTTTATCTCTTGCTCTTCAGCTCGACGACGGTGATCCTTTCTCCGATCTTGTAAACTTTTTCCCCTGGTAAGTTCTTCTCTTCTCCATCACTGACCGGTGGATGATAACCTAATCCCCCCCAGTTCATCAGCCTCTATCATCAGCAAATATCTTCCACCATTGTCCCTCTCCAAAAAAGTTGACTTCTGCATCTGCATCGATGCTTCCTCTTCGTCCCCCCAGATCCAGGCGACCATCAAATCTCTCCGGAATAGACTTGCCGACAGGGCCATCAACCACACAGGATACTACGCCCTTCGCAAGAGACCAATCGCCATCAGCATCGAGACTAAGCAGCCCGATCAGGGATGGGATAGAGCGACGCTACAGCTCAGCGTCTGGCAGGCCTCACACTGGAACTTCCTCCAGGAGCTCAATGTCATGGCCAGGGCCACATTACCTACACATCAGGATATCATGCCTGCGTTTCTTCCATGCATCATCATCCAGGGACAAGATTGGAAGTTGGTCGTTACGACCCGTGAAGGGTCTCAAACGGTTTTCTGGAAGGACATTGATATCGGCTCGACCAAGTCTGTGCTGGGTATCTACCAGCTAATTAATTCGTTACAGCTGCTCAGGAAATGGGCTCGAGATGATTATTGGCCTCTCCTCCAGAGGTTGTTCCTGTCAGTTTTTAATAACAAGTAATTAGAATAGTGCCTATGATACCCTTGGTTGTTTTTGACCAGAATCCATTCCTTTCCCCGTCATTGTATGTCATTCTACACGAAGTCTATACGGTGCCAGAATCTCTGCTTCAAACCATGGCAAATATACGTTTTCAGCCCACGCCGTAAGCTGTCTCAAGCCAGCAACAGCCTGATAAGTTTCTACAACGGTCGACGTACTGCCAAATTGCCACTCCTTCCAAAGAATCGTCTTGTAGCCTTGCCGCGTGGATAGGACAAAAAGCCATCTATGCCCTTGCACAATAACCGCAGGGATGAAGCTCAGGCGGGCCAAAGCCTCATCGGCCTGTTCCGTCTCCTGCACAGTGGGGGGCCTTCCCGGCGAGGCACGGTTTATCAAGAGGAGCGACGAGCGGAGAAACGCCCACTGAGCAGCGTGCCAAACACCAATTTGCAGCTCGGCTGCATCAAGATCCTTGTTTCCTGCCTTGGTCTCGATGCTCAGAACTATTGGACGGACCTGCAGTCTCTGGAAATCTGTGTGGTTGACAGATTTGGTAAGAGTGGCTCGGCAGAAGGCCTTGTGAGTCTCAAGCGACAAAGCATCCTTTTCAGCTGTGTCGGCGTAGACGCAGAAATCAACCATCTTGATGCCAATCGACTTTGGCAACCATGTCTTGTGTGGCCGAGCTGTGTGCCTATGGGTAAGAGCCGAGTTAGCAAGAAGACGAGAAGATGATTGTGGAAGTGAAATGAGCTGCTGCATACGTAGTAGCAATATTAAAGAGCCCCCCTTTCTTCTTCCCAGGTTCCCTAAACACAGCCTCTAGCAGACGAAAATGAACCTCGTCATTCCAGCCAGCCACTTCATGCTTGAGCTCGATGCAGTCTGTCGTCCACTCACGGACGAGGTCGACCTCACTGGGCGACGGGATGCGGCCTGGCAGATCGGCGAACGCGCTGGATTTCTTGAAGGCCGAGTCCCAGTCTTCGAGGTCGCTGCCTTTGATTTGATGACTTTGCAGGATGTCCTTGCGCCGGTCATCAGGGAGAATGCCTCTACAAGTACCGATGCGGCGCATGGTTCTCAACAAGGCAGCAGCGTCTGGGTTTGGCAGGGCTTCAAGTGCGTCCACACTCAGCGCTCTTGTCTCCATCCCTGTGTCGTCGAGGCCGAGCTCGAGGAACTGTCTCTTCAACGGCGATGTTGAGCGAGAGGCGCCAGAAGTGTTGGAACCTGAAAGGGACGGGGCCTTGGTCGGGTCACTCGAAGGTTCAGGCCGGCCTCGAGGCGTGAGGTCCAAGTCCGGGACAAGGTCTATCCGTTGCTTCTTTCTAGTAGGGGTTTCCGGGTCGTCCATGTCTGATACCGTGGCTGGTGGACTAGGCTCTTGTGGTGTCTTGCGCTTGTTAGATCGAATTTGACGTTCTGTCCTTTGTGTGATGCTAGGTTGGGGCTGATTCTGGAGCAAGACAAATGTGCTTGGCAGGTTTTCAATCCACTCAATCACTCTCCGTTGAGCGATCATGGCTAGATATCGCAATATGAGTCGAATTGCTGATGTTGCTGATGTTGCTGATGGTTTGTTTATTTTGGTGGATTGGCCAATTGGCGAGACAACCCCGCCTAGCGTGGTTAGGTAATCCCTTCTTCCACAATCAGGCGTCAATGTGGCACGTGCGTGGGCTTCTGGGAACAGCCGAAAAGGACCCGGTGGCCCACCCTAGCGGAGGTTATTTCTGCAGGGTAGCGAGTTCTAACCATTTACCTATTATGTCAGTCCTTTGGACGATTCACTGTACACGAAGAAGCAATCAATGACGACGCCCAATTGTACGTTTCTAGTATAAGCACAGGGCTAAAAGAGATGATACAAAGACGTGGTTAATAGGTATGTAGCCCGCACACTTCTTGACTTGTAGCGGAGCAAAGAATTTCAGCGTTTCACCGTGGAGACTTGCAAATTTGCTGGCTCCTGTTGGACATGCTTGAATTCATTGACTTATTAGTAGACAAGTCCGCGATGTGTAGAGGTATGAAAAAGCAATTAAACGAAAGGGGAAAAACAAAGTAGCTCTTGCGCCATAACATTTCAGCGAGCGGAGGAAGTTCACTCACTCCGTCGCCCTTTAAAAACTACATAGGACAGGACAACGGTAGTAATGGCTGACTACTATTCTGGTTCATCAGTGCGTCACCATTGTCAAAGAGACATGTACTCTGTGCACATTACATTATCTCGTTAACTCGTGTACATCACAGACCTTTGCCCTTGCTATACCTGTGGAATACATCAACCCGAATATTGTGGAGAAGAACATGTCATTCCTGAGCATTCCGCATTGACACTATTTTCTTTGTAGCGGTGATTCCGGGCTCTGCAATATTCTCTACCATGGCCGCATTGAAAGCTAGATGATAGCACACAGGTGGCACCCTCTCCGGGTCAACGGCATGGTAGTGAAGAAGAAACAGCAACAGAAGCAAGGGAATGACAGATGTTGCGAGGGGCTCGTGAAGGCTGAATGATATGTGACCGCCACGACGTGATTACGACGTCGGCCCAATGCGATGACGATCTCGGGGGCGCAAGAACTTGGCACTGGTATTATATAATGCTGCTTGATAGCGCTCGTTTGGATTGGGCATGCATGGCCTTGGCAGTAGCAGGATACTCGAATACTTATTGAGCAAAGACGTCTGATGCATGCAGGAATGTCCGCCCCGTTTGTTACTATTCAATGCTGGCGCATAGAGAACCATGCACGCTTTATGGCGGTCAAGATGATCTTGATAGCTAGCCTTTTAATAACATCATGTTAGTATTAACTGTTCATTGACAGGTGATTTAACAATAGTCCGAAAACGATAAAAATGATGAATTGAGATTACACTCGCTGAGGAGTAGGCTCTTGTCCGCCTTTCGCTTCATTAAGAACAAGGATAAACTTCATTCTTCATTTGGTCTCTGGTGCACCTCATCTTAGGCTTTCTAACTCAATATTCTGCCCAACCCTCAACGTCACGGACGACAGCGTCAATAGGAGGGCTTAAGAAGATAAAGAGGTGGATAATTCTCTTTTCTCGTACGGAGGTTAGAGCAGTTAAAATACCCATAAGAGGTTAGACTTTTATAATAATATAGCTAGGTATAACTCTTCTATTATTATAGAAGTTTAACTAGGCTACTATATTAATATCGGGTTATGATGTTATATTATGTTTAAGATCTATTCTTTATTATAGTTATAGCCCGGCCCTTAATGGGTTAACTGAGCCTGAAGATCGTCAATAGGAGGAGGCTCGAAATGGCGTCCGAGGATGTTGATGACAAATACTCGGCCGAGGTTTGAGCTCGAACGACGTCTTGCCAGGACCTTTAGAGCGGTTGGCTGTGGAAGTAGTGGCTCCTCACCTATGGGTTTCTCAGCTCCGATATTGTGGGTGAACGAGCTAGTGCAGACTCTCTTAGACAAATCCATCCATATCTCAGGGAGCGTGGCTCACCACAGACGCAAGAAGCCGCTATGAGGGCCTTGTAAATCTTAACCCCAGCTAATTTGACCTAACAAAGTGAGGCTGTTGGGTTGTAGCTTTTCATGACAATAGTGAGGTCGCACGCGATTTATCATCGAAATTGGCAAGTAGTCGCTGTCCTTTGGAGAATATTGAAAAAATAAAAATACTACTACCGAGTCACTACACCCGACAGAGGCGATCTATCCTTGAATAAGAGTTATAGTACCACTATGAGTCATGTCATTGGGTCTGGTGGGAGGTGATGCGACGGCAAATCATCATGTTACCGAATGTAATTATTTAGGTGAAGATCCTCATTGGTGTGCCTCTTACTTTACATAATGATAAATAGTAGACAGGAGGGATATCAACAGATGTGAGACAATTTCCGGGTAGGTGAGAGTATTCAGAGCTGGACTTGAAACAGCCCGACCAGCAATGCCACGGCCCCCGAGCCCCATTTACATCATTCTCGTCGGTGATGACAAGTTGGAAAATAGTGATGTAGCTTGCTTCGTATCTTAAGTCTACGGTGTCGGCAAATGTCGCAGCCATAGCTACAATCAATGCGATTGTCTTGATGGTCGAGGTTTTCATTTTCAACTCAGTGACGGTTGAAAAGCCAAAGAAGAGATTATTGATCGGTATTGGGATTAAACCACAATCGAAAATAAACAAACTGATACTTTTATCTCTAATGATGGTAAGCTGGCAATCGTAAATATATATTTCACTGGTCCTAAATAACCAGTAACACGACTGCTTCCTGTGCATGCCTCAAGTACAGCGTCAACAATAACCTCCAATAGCTCCATGGATCAATGTATTTAATATCTGCACCATTGTAATGGATAACATGCCGAGAATAGAGAGGCATAACTCTTGAACCGGCAACGTTGACACAGAATACTTAGTCAAAAGGTTGCATGAGGCCAGGGGCAGGGCTCAGAGCAAATCAACAGGAAAAACACAGCCGTAACACAACCGCTGTGTAACAATACAGGGCGCCTAGATTGTGCATTTATTGTGCCACCGGGAATAAGATGAGTGCGAGACCCCCATGTCTTTATCCAGCGTTCATAATTCCACGGTCAATACTCTGTTTGGGTCGTGCTAGGTCTGAATAATGAGCTCGAACTGCTGTCACG